CACAACCACGGTAGCTCCCGGGGTGTTCAAACTCTACTCTTACAATTTTACTTCGCATTTGGTGGTTTCGCAAAATGGTGGAACCCTGCTTTGGTACTTGAAGGGAAGCGAAAAGGAAACCGCTGCCATTGGGGACTCGAGAAAAACCGGGCCAGGGTCAATGTGATGCAAGACCTCGTGGGCCTCCGCTTGGCGTCTCGGCAAATTCGACCCTGGACCCGGTTTCTTGCTGAAATGGGCTACTCGAAGGTTCAGGTTCTCCGAAGCCCCAAACCAAGGGGAGAAACCAACGCACGCGATTCGGTCGGCTTCACTGTTCCCATGCGCCAGTGCACGACGGTGATTTGTGCTGCGCTGGTTGCCTGTGTGACTGCCTTCGCCTCGCGATATGAACTCCTTCTGGACATCGCGAGATATCGCGAGCGAGGAAGTGACTCCGGGAGCTCAGCTTTATGGCTTCGATGAGGCTGGGAAAGAGGTTCACGTATGGGTAGGCGTCAAACATGGGACCCGAGAGGATGGGTTTCAAGACGGCTTGCTTGTTATGTAAATTAGCTAGCGCAATCCAAGCTGGCCAGTCTTATGACCAGACGGTCTCAGACAGGAGGGGTTTCAGAGGAGCAACAGACAACTCAAAAAAAGCAAAAACAAAAACAAAAAAAACTCAAAAACAACTCAGCCAAAAAAAACAATTCAAAACACAGACTCAAAAAGACACAGAAAACACAAAAACAACACAAGGGACGACTTCAAAAAGACACAGAAAAGACAGCCTTCAACTCAGAGAAAGAAAGCAAAACTCAAACACAACTCAGAAAAAAAGAAGAAAAGCAACTCAGCCTTGAACTCGATCCCCCCACTTGAGTTTGAGGCTGAGTCTGGAGCTTAGTTGTTTTTCCGAGTGTTCTCCGAGTATTTTCTGAGTTTTTTGTTTTTCCCGAGTCTTCCCAGGTTGGGAGTTTTCCTGAATTAGTTTTTCGGATTGAGTCTGTTTTGAGTTGTTTTTCAGTTTTTGTTTTTGTGTTTTTGTGTTTTCATGGAGAAAACTGCAGATTTCCCCCCAACCAACCCCCTCAGAAAAAAAGAAAGAGCAACAACATACACAACTCAGAAAAAAACAAACTCAGCTCCCGACTCGGCCTCAAAACTCAAGTGGGGGATCTAGTTCAAGGCTCAGTTTTTTTCTGAGTTGTGTTTGAGTTGTTTTTGAGTTTTTTTTGAGTCTTCCCAGTTCGGACTTTTTCAGATTGAGTTTTTGTTGGATTGAGTTTGTTTCGAGTTTTTGGGTGTGTTTTTGCAAATTCCTGGATTTGCGGCCTGTGTGGGCGAGATTAGGTCTTAAGGCCAGTCTGTGCAACATGGCGATGTCCACAGATCGCTACCCTCAAACAGGTATTGCTGTTTTCTTTTCTACCGTTTTCTCTTGCCAACCTTCTAAACCATTCAAAATGTGACATATCCATCCCCCGGATTGACCTGCCACTCAGGCACTGAACGAGCCAGCGCTGCCCGGGAGTTTGCCTCGTGATGAGTGCGAGTCCCCGAAGAAGGACAGGGCGGCTTCAAAGCCACGCAATTCTAAACGCTTTGGGCAAACAGTTTGAACTGACCACAGTCTTGCCATAGACGTGAATCACATCTGATTTTGATTGCTGTTCGCCCGCTGGGCTTCGCCGAATCACGGCGGTTCGATTGGTGTTCAGAGAGTTCTCATCTGGATTGTTCTTGCAGCCTGTCATGTTTGAAAAAGCGGCTCTAAGCTATCCGTAAAGCTGCGTGTTCGCCGTTGAGGCAACTTGAAATCTATAACATAGCTGGCACCGGCACAGGTTCAACTTAGCTCTCCAGTGGCCCAGAACTGTGGTCTGCCTGTATATGATCTAACCCAGAAAGAGCGAAGGGAGGCAAGCAGTTGACCCGAAGCTTCGAGGAGTGTGGCGATATGGTGCTGCATGGCGAGCACCTCGTCCGATCGGATCGCGCAGCAAACAAACCTGAAACAAGGTTGATCGGTTGGTCAGAAGACATTGTAGTTTCGTCTTTTCACGCATCCCAGCTTTGTCCAGTTTAGCGATTGCCAGGTTCATTTGCATCTATTGTTCATTAGAATACGCATCAGTTCCGTGACAGTGGCTGGGGCGACTCTTTGCTTCCTTCCCGGGGGGGGGAACCAGGCTGGTGCCCAAGTCTTTGCATTGCCTGGTGGTCCGCACGCCGATGAGCAGCTGGAAGTTCAGCTCGCAGTTTGGGAACTTGGAGGTCTACCACCAGGAGGCGCCTGAAGCAAGCGGTGGATCGCTTCCAAGTCGGGGTGGGAAGAAGGGTGGGCGCCAGGCGAGTGGCTCACATAGCATAATTGGAAGATGGCATATATCATGTGGAAACTGCAAGGTTGGACATGTTGAAAATATAGCACACACTCATGGCAACTTCCGTTATATTGCCAAATTCAGCGGAATGTGTTTGCCCTCAACCCCTCACTCTGCCGAGCAATAGCAACTTGCGAGCGTGGAACTCCAAATGATTGACCACCCGAAGCTCGACGTGCAAGCTCTAGGGATTCCGTCCCCCCGGCACGGCGTCGCATTTGCATTTGCCACGACGTCGCATTTGCATCGCACCAGGGGGACTACGAGGAGCTCCACTCCACGCACCTCTACCGCTTCTACATCCGCCGGCACCTGGTGCGACAGCGGCAGCTCCTCGAGGATGCGAAGACACCCACGGCCAGAGGGTTATTGGGGATCAGGCCCTCTTTTCGTTGTTTTAAGCATCACTTGGGACCCAAGTTGATACAGGGGAAATATTGGCTGGGGACCCTGGTTGGCGTTCGTCGCCCGATCCAGTGCCGGTAAATGACTCTAGCAGAAGATAAGAACGGACGCTTGGCGACTGACTGGAATCCAATGTACAACATATTTGTGCTCATGTGATCAATGTGTAGGTGAGAGGAGAGTAGAAGACTTGCTAGAGAAGACGTCATTAAAGTGGGCCTGTTCAAAGCGTCGGTTCCGGGAATCGCACATCATGCAACGACAGACACTGGATCCTGCAACGGTGTCGTCAGGCAAGAACACGACTCAGGTGACTTTGCAGAGACGCGCAGAACTTGAGCGAATTGCAGTGAAGGGAGGTTGAGCATGCACTAAGAGAAGACCTTTTTGGCTTTAAAGGGGCAAACAGAACGTCAGGGCAATTGCAGACAGCTGATGCTGCCCGTAATCCCCAACCCCACCCGCAAGATGTTCCCCTCAAGGTTTCGGAAGCTGACTTGAACGGCACCGCGCATCACCGCGCGGGAATGTAGATAGAGGAGCCTATCCCCAACTAGACGTACGTTTTGTACATACTCAATGAATAGTGTCTCAATTCAGAGTCTCAAGAGTCTCAATTGTGGTCCTATCTCTAAGCATGCCATTGGATCCTCTTTGTTGGGAAATCATGGCTTGCCCCGTTGATCACAGGTTTCACCATTGGACCCCAGATAGCTCTTTGGGCTGGGGGAATCCGGGAAGTCCGCCAGGCACCCAGCGAGTCCTCGCAGTGGACGAAGTCCAGGGTCAGCTTTCACCTGCCGGTGGAGCCCGATTGGAACGCCCTCGACAACGTGGCGCCTTGGAGCCGGTTCCGGGTTTTGGGTATGGTGGAATCTGTCCAAACCAGCACCTACATGGTCGATGTCGTTTCTCTTTTTTTTTCTTCTGCGCATGAGTCCAAGCGGGTCCCCTAGTTTTGACACACACACACACTTTTCCTTTGAAGGCTTTGGCCAGCTTTCCGTGGTTCCATGGGAGCAGACTGGCTGACCCGTTTTGCCATGTTTTGCCCACTGTACTCCGCTGTGCTTGTGCTTGGTCAACATGGCATTTGCAAGGTGGCGGGCGGTTTGAGGATGCCGCCTGCTTTGCCATACCCCGTGAAGATAGGCGGGCAGCGTTCGATTGGCCAAGACTTCAAGAGGCAGTAGTACATGCCAGCACGCCACCAGCCGCATCAGCATGCAGGTTGCCTCGATCTTTCACCCAGGTTCAAAGCCAGCCTTGCCTTCTGCACTTGGTACTTCCGCCATGGGGATTTAGCAATTAGTTAGCACATGTTAGCACATGGACCCCGAGCTGTGGCCCACCCATTTTCCGGGGAGTCTGATGCATGCCCCAGCTGGCGCTTTAGGAAGGTTCGGTTTCTCCAGGCAGCGATGGCCCGCTGGCGCAAGATCCTTGCATAGGCCGGATGCCCAGGGTGCCTTGGGCTAGAGGGCACATGAATAAGAAGCAACTCTATGATTCTGGACATATTCTGGACTACACTTTCATGATTGATGTCTACTTAGCTGGCACATGATCAGCAGCGCAATCATGGTTGGTATGGAGTTTTGGGGGTCTGTAATGCAATCAGTCATCTCTATGTCTGCCTCCCTATTTTCTAGCGCCCGGCGCATGCCCTTTGTATCCCTGGATCAAAGAAAGCCAACAACCTGAGGGACATTCTCAGCAAGGCAACCCCTCCCCTCCAACTTGTAACGTTTCCTGCTTCCATTGTCTCCAACTTGTAAAGGAAAATAGTTTCACAAGGTCCTGTCCCGTGCCAGAGCGGGCAGCCAGCTATCTTGCTGCAGAAGTGTTTTTTTGCTGGGTGACCTGTATCTGTATGCCAAGAGTATCAACATGATGTTTGAATTACCGAGTGCATCTATCTATCGATATATTGCATACATATATATATATATATTCTGGGATTGTGTGCGTCTTTGTTGTAGATGCCCATTGGGAACAATTTTTGATGTGCCCTATGTAGAAGTCTCACCCACACACCTTACCATCATTCTTCCGTACCAAGTGTGTCTTCCGTTTGAGTCCCGTGGGTTCCTGGGTTTCTGCGTAGGCTGGATGCTGCGCAGCGCGCTGAAGCAGAACCTCTTCGTGCTGCGGCCCAAGGAGACGGCCTGGTCCCACCTGGAGATCTTCGAGCGCGCGTGTCAGCACCTCAACGGCAGCTTTGAGGCGGGAGCGCGGCTTTCCACCGGCCGAAACCTGCCCCTCCAAATGGCTGTGGGTCAAAACCAATGGTACCATTTTGGGGTAGGTGCACCGCCCATTTTAGTCTATTTTAGTGGGGATTGGGATGTTCACTGGGGCTACGGACTTTTGACCCATGGCCAAATGTCTATTTCCCTGCACCACCACCTGATCCGTCTCATGAATAATCTCTGGCAAAGCAGGCTCTTCCGCTGGTAGCTCAATCTCTTACGTATCTGTAAGCGGGTCGTTCCAAAGCACCTGGTGAAAAGCTCCGGCAACTAAGATGTCCTCATGGGCCAAATAAAGGTTGTTCTAAGTTTTGCAAATGGGAATGCTGTTTTCCGCACGTGTATGCGTCTCTGCACAAATGCGCACCGCTGAGGATTGCTTGAAGTAAATCGGCATTGTGCGCTGATCACTCGAGCCCAAACAAGATGTATGCACACTAGAGTGGCAGGGTGGCAGGTGACCGCGGCGCGTGGGGCCGTGAGCTGAACAGCGCCACCTGAGTGGCCCACGATGGCCCACGCTGGCCTTGAATCCTTCACATGGAGGACCTTGCATCCAGTCCGACGTCGCCTTCCGACATCTGCAACATGCTAACCAAGGGATCCTGTAGGAAGCGCCCGGCTGTCGTGGCAAAGCCCCGCGCCGTTTGCTCTTACGTGCCACCCTCGCTGCATTGACAGAATGCAGGCTTGTGTTGGTTTCAGGCCTTCATCTCCCATGGCTCATATTGGCTTGTATCAAAAGCTGAATTGCTCCATCGGCATATCTCACCAAACATGGCGACGGAGCCCCACAGAAGCGGAGCAACCTCTTGAAGACGTTAAGGGCGCCTTCCATTTGATCCCGTGCCTCTAGCCTCGCCCGGTAGGTTAAAGGGAAACCCGGATGCTGACTAAGTCTCCGCTCCTTTCTAGCGACGAGGCTGAGTTTCACTTGTTCTTTATTGAGGAACAGTCCTCCAGGCGCAGCAACTCCGAGTACTTCGTACTACGATTCCACTGCGGAGACGGTGGAGGAACCAGCTCAGACGAAAGCTACTCCCCGCTCTATATGGGTATGGTCGATCAGGGTCATCCAAAGAAGAATCGTATGATGAGCAAGCCAGTGCTCAGCAAGTCAAGGACCCTCGACCGGCTCTACCAAGAATCTGTGCTGCGTCAATTCGAAATACAATTCGCAATATGCAGTGCTGTACTGGGGTTTGGTCGATCATTGGTTGATTCCCGCACGGGCAGGCCTTGGTATGTACGCAATATCTCCTGGTATTGATACAGGCAGTGAAAGTGCCATCGGTTTTTTGAGTGCTCTCCTTTTTTGGAGGCTTCGGCTGGTGATGCTGGCGATGTTGCTGCTGTCGCAGGGCTCGGCTGGTCATGCTGGCCATGTTGCTGCTCTCGCTTGTTATTCCCTTTTATGTATGGTTCAATAGTGACGTTAGACACTTTGTTGGGCATCGTGGCTTGCCAAGCCTGAGGGCATCGTGCTTCTGCTAAAGGGTCATGAAACTTTGGTAGCGTCCCAATAGCAGCCGAATTCCTTTGGCAAGTCCTCATCTGATGAATCCAGGCATTCTCCTGAGACTCTTCAAGCACGTCGAAATCGATTTGTTATAAATCCAAAGTTTTTCCACAGGGATGTCATCTTGATTTCTCCCAAGGTGCTTAATGTCCACGTAGGATTTATAAATGAACCTGTAATAAAGACAAATGGGGGGCCCAAAATAATTAATAAATGCACCTACAATAAAGACAAGCACCCGCCACCCCTGCCCATTTTTTCCAGAAAAAAAAACCCAAAAAAAAGAGAGGAAGGAGAGGAAGGAGAGGAGAGATAGCCAAACCAAGTCCTTGGATCTTTGGCACCTTGCTCTTGGCACCTGCTTCTTTCCTCACCCAGTAGCTCAAGGCTTTCTCTGGGCAGCAAGCTAGGCAGGCTGTGTACCTGCACTTTGAGCACCTGAAAAGTGCAGCTTTGGCTCTCCAAACTGCCTCTCTGGCATCTGGGCTCAAATCTTTGTGGGTGAAATACTGTGAATTCTGCTCAAAAGCTGTCTTTGCTGCTTGAGCTGTCTTAGAGTTCTGATCTTTTGCCTTGGCAAGGCTCTCCAAGGCTTTCATTCTTCTTTGCTCCTGCTGCTCTTCAAGCTTCTTTTCCCTTTCTTTTGCTTTGGCAACTTCTGCATGAACTTTCTCAACTTCTGCCAGCAACTGCTTGCACAGTGTTTCCAACCTCTTGTCCCAGCTCTGGGCCAACACACCTGGCCAGCCTCTGGCAGCTGGGCCTTCTGAAGCTAGCTCTGCCACCTCTGCCTCAATGTAAGACAGAACTAGCTGTCCACTTTCTGAGGCTGTTTGCCTGCAGCTGTTGCACCTGGCTGGCACTTCTGGCAACTCTGAGGCAGCTGTGAGAGCTTGCATTGCTATTGCTGCCTTGTGCTTGCAATCTGCATGCTCATCTGCCAAGGTGTCCCTGTAGCAGAACTGCCAGGCTGCATCTGGACTGGACCTGTGGCCAACTAGCAAGGCCCAGTGAGCTGGGCTGCCCAGAACTGGCACAAAAATGTGCACCTTGTTGCTTGCGAGCTGCTGAGTCTCTTCTTTCCACCTTTCTTCTTTGTCAATCTTGTAGGTGCACTTTGCATCCACAAGCTGGCAGCTCTCCAAAAACTCATGGCCTGAGAACTGCCATCTGAGCAGGTGCCAGCTCAAAGCTATGTGGCCACCCTCCAGCATGTTCATCTTTGGTGGCTCTGGCACAACTGCTTCTGCTTGAACTCCCAGGGCTGGCATGCAACCTGAAAGCTGCAGGAACTCCTGCTTTTTCAACCTGCCAAGCTGTGTGAACTGCTTCCACACAGCTGCCTTCTTCCAGGAACTGTCTTTCAACTGCAAGTGCTGCTGCTGGCAACTCATCACACCATGATCTGTGAAGATTGAAGCTGTTCCATCTGGCTGTGCATCTGCAAAACTGCCTTCTTTGCCGTACTGCAAGGCACCTGCTTCTTCCTTCACAACTCTCAACTCCTCTCCTTTCTTGAAAGGCAACTGCAGGTCCTCAACTGGCTCTGCAGCCTTTGCAGCCTTCTTCTCAGCTTCATCTTCTTTCAAGGCTAGCAGCAGAGCTTTGTCCTTGATGCCCTTCTTCTTGCTCTTGGCTAGCTCTTTCTTTACAAGGCTACCTTTCTCCTTCAAACTTGGCTTTGATTTGGATGAAGCTTTGAGGACCAAAGAGGGCTTCAACTTTGCTGAAGCTTTGAGCTTCAACGCAGGCTTTACCTTTGCCTTGGGCTTTGCTTGTGCAACTGGAATTATGTCTTCCATGGCTTCTTGCTTTGACATCTTTGCCAGCTTCTTCCTGATCTCTGCAAAACTCAACCTTGAAGCAGCTTTCCTTGCAGCTTGCCTGGCAGCTTTCAGCTTTGCCTTGTTGACTGCCAACTTGACAAGCTCTTGCCAACTATCTTGCTGAACTTTCCTTCTGATGTGAGCTCTCCTCAACTTTGGGCTCATCCTCAGGAACAAACTGTTCCAAAGTGGAACTTGCAGCTCTGTTGCTACCTCATCTTCATTGGGCATGTCAAGGGCCTCCCCACCTCCATCTGCATCTCCACCTTCTTCATCTTCACATGGGTTATTGTAGCTCCACTCTATCAAGTCAGCTACCTGTGTGGCGCTGGAACTCAGGGCAAAGTCTGCAGGCTGTGGAATTCCATCTTTGACCCAGCTGAACCTTGGCTCCAGCCAACTGTTGGGAATTCTCTTTGTCCCCTGTGCCAGACCTCTTGCTTTGGCCCAACTTTCACCTAGAAAGGGCACAAGCTTTCCTTCCTCTGGTGAAGCTTTGAAAGCTATGAGGCCATTCCTCACACTCCCACCTACAATCCAATCTGTGTCAACCTGTCTTTGAACTGCTTGTCTCTGAGCTCCAACTGTGGCAAGGATGATCTCTTTGTAGCCAATCTTATACTCTCTGCCATCTTTCTTAGCTGCTAGCCTTTGCTCCTCAAGCTGCTCTCTGAAACTGGCCTTGAAGCTCTTGGCAAAGTCTGTATCTGTCAACTGAAGCTGCTGTGTCATCTTTCCCAGGATCTGAGCACTTGCTTGGCAACCTGTGAACTGCCTTTGCACAACTTGTTCCTGGAAAACTGCACTGAAGCAATCTCTGACCCACAAGCTGCAAATATCTTCTTCACATTGCTCTTCAACTATCCATGCTAGCAAAACTCCATCGCAGTTGGAACTGGGCTGTGTCATGATCTCCACCTCTTCAAACTCTTTTGGAAACTGCTTCCTCAGCTCAACTGCCCAAGCTAAGCCTCTGCACTTCTCTCCAGCTTGGTGCTCCACCTCCACACCTTTCACTTCAAACTTCTCTGTTCTCTTGTACTTGCCATTCTCATCTACATTGCTCAATCTGTTGTGCTTTCCAGGGAAAACTAACAGTCCAGGAAGCACATGTCCTTGCAGCTCCTCTTTGTTAGCTATGTTGGTCACCCTCTGCCTGGCCTCATAGGTTATGCGAAACTTCTCAGCAGCACTGTCTCCCTTCAAAACTCTGCTGCCAGCAACAACTTTGCCACCTGCCTCACCTCCATCTGCAGCTGTGATTACCTGCTGGCCACCTTCTTTCCAAGCTTCCTGTGCAGCTCTCAGCTCCTCCCTGCAAGTGTTGAACTCCCTCCTCATCTCAGCCCCAACTCCTCGCAGATCTTCCTTTGCAAACACAACCTTGGTGGATGGGCTTTTGGCCCACAGAGGAACTTGATCTGACATGCCTATGCACAATCTGTGCCGGTTTGATATCACCTGGTCCACATCTGAAACTATTTGAGCTGACTCTAGCTCTTCTTTGGGAGCTGCTCCCATGAGCCACAGCTTCTTGTGATCTATGGACTGGAACGTCAACTGTGCTCGCACCTTTTGCTCCAATGGAGCTAGCTGGGTGGTCTGTTCTTTGGTCATGAACTTTGCCTC